GTATACATTATTTCAGAAAACATCACAGTTCTCTGCAAGTTATGATCTAGAAGTTTTGGGCACAACCAACTTGATGAGGCTCCAGCTATTTTTCTAAAAGGAACTTGTATAAAGATATGCATCTGGAACTGCAGTGAAATATGGCCCTTCAAAGTATGGCAATGAAATAAAAGCAAGCCACACTTTTCAGATTTTCTAGGTGTAAAATACACTAGATTGGAGAAAAAAAAAGTGACACCAAGCAGTATGAAAGAAACCAACACAGTGAGCCAATTTAACCAAGTGAACCTTCAAATTTCAGGACCTGCTTGGAGGAGGAGCTGATAAAAGCGAAGGAGTGCCAACGTCCGCGAAGAGACATGTACGAGAAGATGATCTCCGTGGACCCCGCGGCCCCCACCGAAGAGGAGCGCGCTCAGCAGGGCGTCCTGAAGCCTCGCTACATGAGGTGGAGGGAGACGCTGAGCTCCACCGCCACGCTCGGCTTCCGCATCGAGGGCATTAAGGTCAGCCTCATCCCCGAACGTCCGTCGGCTTTAGCGCGTCTGACTGCTGGCGTCAGAGCCAGTCAGGAGTGGTGAGCAATAAATAGTGCAGCATGTTTTTACACGAAGTAAACAAAGAGTGGGAGTGGATTTCTTCTTGACAAGACGAACTGCAGTGGGAATGGCAAATGGTGTTTCGACATGCAGCAGCTGTGCAGAGGACTGTTTGTTCTCTTGGAAAAAGAAAAAAAGAAAATAATAAATCGGATCCTGCTCATCAAAACCAAAAATGCTTTATTTGCATACCTGAAAGACAAATGAAAATGCTGGCAGTGGAGCTTTTTTTTTCCGGTCAGACGGGTATTTACAGCCAACTTAAAGGCTGCTGCTTCAGCTGCTGCTTCAGCAAATCATGTGGTAATAAACCAAACGCCTGGTCATGCCAGACCATGCAGTCGGAGTGGAAAATAGAAAAACAAAGAATAACATGACACTCAGATTTGCTGCGCTGACTTTTAATTTTGCAACCCTTCTGCATTGATTTTTCTGGTGAATCTAAATTGACAGAGCAGCGTCAAACGAGGCAGCATGACGTCTCTACTGTTAGCTGATTACAAGAACTATGCTGGACGAAACTTGCCAGGGCGGAATCGTGGGCCTCAGGCCAATCTTCAGTGTTTTATCTTTTCATGTGAAACACTTCAAAACATCCAAACTGGGCTTTCCCGTCTTTATCGCCCATTTCTTATGGTTATCCCAACAGCTAGCATCGCCTCCGCTCCCTTGGTCTGTATTCATGAAGAGCTTAACATATCCCTGAGAAATGGGACACTCCTTCAAGAAGAATGTTGTTGAGTAATTTGCATTACATAAACCAGGATGACTTTGAATATGTTCGTTTGTGTTTTGCAAATGGTTATTAGTACCACTGAGCAAAAGTCTATTTTAACTTTTCAAAATGCTTGAGAAGGTATACAGCACACTTGCACAACTGGAGGAGTCTGTTGTATAATGTGAATGCAAATACACTTTACATATTTCATACAATGATCATTTTCTTAAGTGGCTCTTTTAGTAACTTTTGCTTGATTTAATTTTGTACCGACTGATTTTGTACCGACTGATGTTTTTAGATGTAAATATAATGCAGTTTTTTAGTTCTTAAATTGAATAATTGTACTTATGTCCTACAACAGAATATCGATGGAAGTACCAGTAATTTTTAGTTCATTTTTCTATGAATGTTGTCCTTTTTTTATTTCTCATTCTAAAACCTACCTTTTGTATCTACTACTAGCTCAATATAAACTATAAATTTCATGATATTGGGCATGAAAAAAGGGCTAACTGTTACCCATAAAGTAATTTGGCATATTCCGCTTCCTGTCGTGTTTAAATGTTACTTTAAACCGCTGTTTTTTTTTTAATCAATAATATTTTCACTTGATCCGGCTAGAAGAAAACCCCACATCACAATTATTTTATGAGTGAAAGGTAAAAAATATTTGACTAGCTTTATTGGTAAGAGTCTAGGTTTTACATTCTGAATATTCATGGTCTCAATGGGTCTAAAATGTAGGTTTGTAAAACAAATCTAGGAACAAAATGTAAGTTTTTTTGTTTTTTTCCCCTCTCTTCCAACAGAAAGGTGACGGATCGTGCAACACCGGCTTCAAGAAGACGAAGCACAGAGAGCAGGTGGTGAAGGCCTTGGAGGACTTTGTTCAAGGCAACGTTCAGATCCTGGTATGAAACCCCACAAATTGATTATTCAGGAGGAATATAGACAAACTGAATGACCACAAAAAAAAAAAAAAACATTTTAAAATTGTTTTTAATAGAAAGTGACTTTTTTTTTCTAAAAGAAAAAAAAAGTCAACGAGTTTCTACCAAGAACAACTTACTAATGAAATGATCAGTGATAATTACTTTAGTATGTCACCTCTTCATTACCATTTTAAAAATATTTGTGAGATAATACTTTTAATTCATATTGTAAATAAGTTTATTTCTTCATTTATTTACTAGAAGGGCAACATGTGATGAATTAAATCAGTAAATCTTAACCCCCCCAGTCTGTGGGCGCGGCATCAGCTACTCTAGAAAATCTGTTTGGTCTGCAGGTGTTGGCCAATCGAACCAGTTTCCCATTTCCCAGTGTTTATGCTAAGTTTAAACACACCGCTGTTTGCTTCATGTTTACCCCCCAGACAACAACCCTACTCACACGTGTTTATTAGAAGTAGATGTCGCTCCAGACCTCGTCTAACAGGAAACAGAAAAAGGTGTCGTTTCCTGTTTTTGTTCTCACTTTCTGATTCCCTCCACTGTTTTTGTAGAAAAGTTACCTGAAGCGTCTGGAAGAGCTGCGCTCCGTTCTTGAGAAGTCGGACTTCTTCAGGACCCATGAGGTGAGGAGACGCTCTCCTCTCTGAGCTCGTTTCCCCTTCCTGTCTGGCCGCTGCGCCTTCTCATCGCCTTCCGTGCTCCCCTCCCTCTCTGTCGCAGGTCGTGGGCAGCTCTCTTCTGTTCGTGCACGACGCATCCGGAAAGGCTAGCGTCTGGATGATCGACTTTGGCAAGACGGTTCCCCTGCCGCCCCCCATGAAGTTGGACCACAGGGCGCCCTGGGTGGAGGGCAACAGGGAGGACGGCTACCTGTGGGGGATGGACAACCTCATCGACATCTTCAGCAGCATGCTGCCTCGGACGCCTTGCGATGGAGATCAAAACTCGGAGGAGGCGTGACGCGACTGGGTGCTGTTGAAATCTTTGTACGTTGTCATCAAAGTGTCTTAATCCACTCGGGATAAAAGGAAACTTCAGGAGGACGAAGTGGAACATGCCTAAAAGACTGTTGATATGCATTATTAAGAGCTTCTGAGCAGAAGGTTGTGAAACGTACAAGACTAAATATCTAAATATTCTCACATTGACTTATTATCTGAGAATTCAATGCTACAAACTAATTAAAAAACTTTGACCCAATCCCCTCCAACTCCCCAAGACACACTAGTGCTCATCCCCTCCTCAGCAGCCCCCTCTGCTGGATGTTGTTGCACACAGCAAATCGTCTTGCATCCATGAACTTGACTCTGCAGAACCCAAAGTACTCTGTCTTGGCAAGATCTTTGTTTTTTGTTTTTTTATTGATGGACCACTTTTTATGTTAAAGCACACAGCAACACTAAAATACTGGTGAGACCAAGTGTTAACTAACTCAGTATGTAAATAGCTTAATTTAATCTTTTTGTTTTTGGGCCTTGGGATAACCTTCTTAATATTTGTAAAGTTCCTGTGCCTAACACTTTTTTTAAATAATTGATCATTCCAGTGCAAAGGACTCCCTCCACAGAGTTCACCCAAGTATAAACTGACTTGTGTCTAATCTTAAAAGTTTTGCCTTTTTTAGAAACGGTTTTATCCAGTCATTTTTGTATGACACAATGCAGTGACTTATTATTTTTTCTTTTATTCTTGCGGTAAGGAGCTTGGCCAAGCTACGCCTCTTTGGAAATTGTTGCACTGTGGATCCTCAAAAAGCCATCGAACAAAACAAGCAGTGCCTCTGTGTGTGTGTGTGTGTGTGTGTGTGTGTGTGTGTGTGTGTGTGTGTGTGTGTGTGTGCTTGGTTTACAGCTGAACATGAATTAGATTTCCTCTAATCAGCTTTGCTTTGGGGATTTTACAACCAACTGGTGGTATAAGGGGTGAAATTTAACTCGAGGTAAGATTAATCTGTTAGAGCTTTTAAGAGGCTTCGTTAGAACAAAAGACTGGAAAATCTTTGTCCATTTAAGGTTGAAGAACGAGATGACCTTTAAACGCGAGGATGTTTTGGTACACTAAACTGGATGGTGTCGCGTCAGATGCTAGTATTCAGCATGTTTGCATAGAAACAATGCTGCAAGATACCAGAGCAGTGCTAACAATAATAATGTTTTGGAAATCGATCAGTGTCCGGCAGCTCTTTTAGAGGGTCTGTGTGCAATTCTTTTAACTTGGTACAAAAATTTACTTTGGCAGTGCATAAATTGGGACATAATGAAAATAAAATAAACATTTTCATCTCTAAATAGCAATCACACCAGGTGGAAATGTAGTATTAATGTTTACAAAGTATTACAAGCCTCTAGAAGCCCACAAATTCTCTATGATGTGGGGAAATAATCAGGTTCTCAAACTGGGTGCTACTTTCCAAGAGAGAAAACTGGATATAAACCATTTTTTATTTTTTTTTGCTTTTTATGTTTGTTTTCTTAAAGGTCTTAAACAAAGACTAATGGAAATTGTTAATCCCTGCTTTGTCCACATTACGGATTGCAATAAACTGAAAATAAGATCGACAAAAACCTTTTCTTTTTTTTTCATCAGAGCAGCTCAAGATCAAATCAGGGTAGAAAAATACAAGGCATTTTATTTTAAATTGCTCAAATATAAATACTTTAAAATCTTTTGTTCAGTTAGGTGAGAAACTGAACCAGGTTAGAAGAATGAAAGACAAAATCAAGGACCAAAAGTGCCACATCAATTTATTAGCAAAATAAATTGATTTAAATAAAGTTGTGAATGTGTGTATGCACTGTGTAAGTCAATAACGAACATATTTTAAATGTAGAAGTATTTCTTAAAGTTGTACATACTTGATTGTTCAGTGGGTGTTACAGACAAGGTGATTGGTCGACGCCCAAGCTGCTGTGAAAATTAACCAATCACACTTTGAAGGTTTGATGGGAAAGTCAGTTCAAAATGTTCCGCAATGGACTGTAGTTGTACAAACTGGCGTATTAAGCTATTGAGACCATAAAAATGTTTTTTCTTTTTTTTTAGATGTACGATGTCTACAATTTTTATTGCTCTATCACTTGTCTCAACATTTATCAAATGATTGTGACACTTTTGTTCTCTTGATTAGACAATATCTCCTCCATACTAATGTTGCGTCGCGACCCTTAAGGAGGATGTGGCAACGGATGAAACTAGTTTTTGAGCAGCGTCACTGTGGTTCCTGCGGCTGAGTCCTCGTGTGGAGTAACACCGCCTGTCCCGCGAGCCCGGCTTCCACTCCTCCTTCCGGAACCACGTACTGGTTCCCATCGTTGGCTCGCTGAGGGTCCATCGTCCTCAGCTGCCCGTTGCTCTGGGCGACGCTGTCCAGACTCCACAGCTGGTAGCGCAGGCTCTTGCCCTGCTTGGCAAGGATGTAAACCTCAGTGCTGGTGGTGGGACAAGGAAGATGGCCGCCTTTGGAGACGTAGAGCCAGGGCAGAGAGGGATCCGGCTGAGCATACTCGTCGTTTACGCTCTCCTGGTTCAAACTGAGGAGCACACCTGCAATCAATGGGTAATTTAGATCCATAGTTCAGGAGAGAAATGGTCTTTAAACTAAAGGCTAGTTCAAAGATCAGAAAAACAACATTCTATTTAAGAAGCAGGAATTCCAACATGGCGACGCTCACACATGGTTCTCAGCATAATTATGAATACGGTTCACCGCTTACAATAATTTTGAAACACGCAACTTTTTATCTGTTCGGTTTCTTGATGCACATGTAATTCTGATTGTAAAACTGACTCTAGACGCGCTCAAACATGTTTCCACCACATCTTGCTGTAGTTGATGCGAGGGACGGCGGCCATATTGAAACATGAAGTCGGCCTTCTGTTTCATTGTGGCCTTACAAGTCCCTACTGAGATTAGTCGAAGTTTCTCCCAGTGTCAAATCCGACTTCAAGTGGTGTTCAAGTTGACGTTTCCGACTGGGAAGTCAAAATTTTCCAGTTTGGAGTGCAACTGGAATGCAGTATCAGCAACATCCATCTTTCTATCAGAACCGACCAGCTTGGCTGTGCTACCGAAGAAAAGCAACTTCTCGGAATGATACTGTCACTGTCGCATTTTACTGTGGGAATTTCTTTTAATTGTCAAGTTAGGCTGTTTTTTTTTTTGTGTCACATATGCATGTAACTTTAGTCTGATTTAGAATAGAAACAGCTGGACAAAAAAGATCATAGTAAAGAAATTTTAAAAAATACTGAAGTTTGCCGTTTTTATATGAAGAACCTCCAGGGATGAAAAAGCTGCTTGTCAGAAAACTGTGAAATTGCTTGTATCTAGTTTAGTTTTTTTTCTGTAAGATGTCAACAAGTACAATATTTAATGCAGAAAGTCATTTTTACTTTGAATTATGTGTTTATTAAACTGCAAAAGCTAAAATGGGTCAGGTATCTTTACACCCTGCATTAAACACTCCTGAAGTTAAGATCTGATGTGAGTCAGAATGCAGGAATTAAACCAAATCCACTTCATGAAAAATGGAGACAAACTTTTCAGCTACATGTGCATTTTTTTTTTTTTTAAATCCGCTGCCCGACAACAAGGTCTTACCTGAAGCAACGGCCCAGTGCGCCCTGTAACCCTGACGCTGGCATGGCTCATGGTTGAAGTCCTCATCATACCTGCGCATACCGTCAAGGAGCTGCATGTTGCAGGTAGAAATATTTGCCGTCATTTGGCAGCAGGATACGGGATGAGAACGGGTTGTCCGCTCCACAGGTGTTTGATGACGGCTGCCGAGTTTCTGCCGCTCAGACCTCCCGACAGCAGTTCAGCCTTGCAGACACAGAGCTCCTCAGCCAGCAGGGCCATGTCGCGCGCTGGAAATACAGAAAGCTCAGCGAAAACACACGGCAACAACACATCCCAACACCGGGTCCGAAATCTTTCAAAACAGAAACAAAATGGCAACATTTTCCATTGTAACTGATTTCTGTGAGCAAAGTGTATTGTCTCTATTCCAGGCAATGGAAAAAGTATTCAATCTCCGTGGGGCGTTTTATTTCTAAATTAAGTGGAACACAATCTAAGGTCTATTTTCTACAAATCTGGAGCTTATTACATTTATTTGTTGATATTTTTGCTTCTGTGTATTTTAGGGATAGAAAGCAGCAACAGAGATAAATAACTTTAAAATGCTCCTGCGTCAAGTGGTCTTACACGCTGGGGTTACCTGAAAACATTTCCCCCTGGGCGGTGTAGCCCCTCCTCACTGCTGTCTGAACCACCGTCTCCATTGCGACGCTCAGCTGCGGCTGTCGCAGGTGGGCAGCCATCCACAGAGCCACCAAGCCGCACCTGAAGTATCAACACTCGCTGTGAACGGGTCACGTTTTAGGACTCGCATCTACAACCACTCATTACAAAATAAATACTCGGTTTGTGTTTAGTGACAAATTTACACACGCTCCATCACCGGTTTCAGGTTTCAGAGCGCTCGGTTCAGTGACTTACTGTGGGCCGTCTTGGATGAGGGAAGGCACGTACTTGTTTACTAGTAACCACTGCAGATCCTGCCTGAAACTAACCAATGAAACATTCCATCAAATAAAAGAAAAATGACTTCCTGTGAACAACTTTGACATTATTTTTGCTTTAATTGTTTTTTTTACAGTCTAGTTCCAAAATATTTAAAGGTCAGCTCAAATGTACAAGAGCTAAACTTGCATTTTTGTGCATAAACAGTCTAAAACGTGGCTTTGTGTAAAGGCGCCATAAATAAACTCCCTTAACAGCCACAGATTAGATTAGTGTTGCTTCGTGATCATATTATAGTCAGTGACGCAACATTTCTTTCCCTTTTAATTAAGCAGATGAGGTTCTGATTTTCAAGCTCGGTGACAAGATCAACATAGAAAGCTCCAACTGATTCTGTAAATGCAAGAGGCTGCGTGTTCTTCAGTAAAAACAACAATCATCGTCTTTGAATAGCCAGATTAGTACAGCACACAACTACTTGTTTTCACGTCACCAGGTTCTCCCTCCTGAGCTTTGGATCTCTGGAGCTCCTCCAAAGTTGGTACTGTCCCACCGACTGCTGCTCTGATAAATTGGGTCAGTGTTAGCCATGTCAGCTTGGCTGGAGGGCTACAACTTGGTTGGATTTCATGCAGAAGTATCAGGGCTAAACATAAATGCATGTCAAACATTTCAGATTTTGACTTATAAAAATGTTGACAACCATAAAATGTTTTCCTTCCACTTATGCACTTCTTTTTTTTCTGTCTATTGCATTTCTTCTTTCTTTTTTGTTGTACCTTGTATTTGTTTTCATTTACTTTAGTTTTATTATGAGGTCTCTTGTTAGACTGAAATTTACAGGTGAATTACAAAAAATTAAATATTGCATAAAATCCAAATATTTCCTGCCAGTCGTTTCAGAAAGTTAAACTTATACAGAATAGGATACACAGAGTGGCATATGCCAAGCCTTTGTTTCTCATAATGTTTCAGATTACGGCTAACAGATAATAAAAACCCAAAATTCTGTGACTCAAAAAATGTGAATACTGTGAAAAAGACTTTCGTTTTTTCTGTTTCTATCCTGACGCTTGACTATATCAGTGCTGTTCTCCTCTGTGCTATTGCCAAACAAATTCAGTTTGTGCTAAATTACCACAAACTCCAGACAAAATACTGAAACACTGTCATTTGACAGAAAGAGGGAAAAGCTTAAGGGGTCGTCCAACAGTCTGGCAAAAACAGAGATCAAAGGTCACCAGGCAAAGCAGATGTCATTGCTGTCACCCAACAAGAGTTTAATAATCTGATTCTGTAAATCTGACTACCCAGATTTACAGGGCAATCAGATTTGCCCGGATTGCAAATCTGATTGCCCTGGCCAGGCCTCACGCATGCACAATATATGACCCAAATATAACTTAGGTTTCAGGTTGTCACTACTTTATTCAGTAAGTGAAATTATCACAAGATGTTTTGTGACAAAGACAAAATATCTTGATTTCATGACACAAGTTCATTATGTATTTATTTTTTTCACTTCTTCAGAAGGTATTTAGCTGAGGGTTTTATTGACTCTTATGCCAAATCTCACCAGCTCTCCCTCTGTCTGAGGAGCAGGCAGGCCTCAGTGTGGTCCCCCTCCACAGGACTCCTGCTGCTGGCTATGGTCTGGTACAGCTTCTTCTTCTTCTTCGCTGCTGGAGGCGGAGCTGGGGGTGGAAGTGGAGGGGAAGACATTTTCAGCTTCTCCACCTGAACACAGAGAGAGAAGAAAAGGCTCTGTTAGCATATTTTGTATGATTTCAGAGAGAGCAATGGCAATACACACCTGCAGCCTCTGCTCCTGCTTACTGGGGTCTGACTCGCTGCTGTGCTGCGTTCATAGGCGCACGGAAATTTTAACATCGACTCTAAAAATTAAAGTAACACCAGAAATGTTATTCTACCACAATATATAAACTGGTATTACACTAACTTCACAGACCGTCAACTTGAGCTGACGCTCACCGGTTTCATGCCCATATTTAGCAGAAGTTACTCGTTTTTTTGCTTCATCTTCTTCTTCCTTAAATGCGGTAAGCACAGCAACGTTTTGGCGCATTACCGCCACCAACTAGACTGAAATGTTCTCCAAAAAGTGCATCATGTCTGTGTATTTTGTGGTGCTGTATTTACACTGTCGCATTTATTACAGACATATCACTACAGCCTATGAAAAAGTACCACTTAAACAATTAAAGAAATAAATAATTGTTGTGTGAAAGTGCAGGAGTAGATTATTCCAAATATAAAACACACTTTCACTTTCTTACACAGGAGAAGACAAGGAATTAAATTTAAATGATCATATTGCACAGTGTTAATCAGTTTTATGGTTATGTGGAAATGGATAGAGATGCATAAGAAATACAGGCAATGAATTCTGTGTCTTTAATTCTTTCAGAATTTCACATTAAGGAGATAAGGCTCAATAATGGACTTTCAGTGTACGCAGGGGGAACCATGGAAGATGTTCTGTTGCGTTGTGAAAAATGATCAGAAATAGGGAAGACAACTGATTCAAAACCCAGGGGGAAAAAATAGAAAACAAAATGGAGTTTTGCATAAAGAGTTTATTGCAAAGAAAATCCAGATGTGAACGTTTCATTATTTTATTTTGGTTTCGAACATTAACACATTTGTATTATGACATGAGTATTTTTCATTTTATTTCATTTCGTTTGCTTCTTTGGTATAAGCGACATTCTAGTTCACACTCCAGGCCAGTTATAGGCAGTAGCGCACCACATCTTTGGTTCCCAATCTCTGAAAAATGACACAGAAGAAGAAATATTTTTTTATTGTTCCCGCGAGAAGATAAACGTGATTTGAGAAAACCGGGGCTTTCATTCATCATATCGAGGTGAGAGCTCGTCTGCATTTAGATTAACTGTTTCGCCGTATTTCGGGGGTTGTTAAGTCTCCATCCAAGGTATTTATAGACTTATGTTATAAATGCGTTTTTTTTAAAACCCCAGTAAGTAATTATTTCATTTAGTTTGATTTGTTCTGCTGAAACCGTTGACCTAGCAAGTACAGCTAACAGGCTGTACGTGCTGAATGGCTGTTTGCTAACCGCGGTTAGCTTCGGTTCCTTCAGATTGCTTAAAGCTGTTTTGTTTTGCTCCAGGTGATTTGAAATAGACTTTAACATGACCACGCCGGAGGTTCGTCCTAATCACACCATCTACATCAACAACCTGAATGAGAAAATCAAGAAAGACGGTGAGGTTCTATACAACCCGTCCAGGTCGCATACTGTCCACAACTCGATTTTATTTTGACGTAAACTCACATCCGATTTCGTTTTCTCCCCGTCTACGCAGAGCTGAAAAAGTCGCTTTATGCCATCTTCTCGCAGTTTGGCCAAATTCTGGACATTCTGGTAGCACGGAACTTGAAGATGAAGGGCCAGGCCTTTGTTATATTTAAAGAGATCAACAGCGCCTCCAACGCCTTGAGGTCCATGCAGGGCTTTCCCTTCTACGACAAACCCATGGTAGGTTAATTAAACACTGAACAACAGCAAAAGTCTGTATTTTTAATTGTTTTGGTTTTTAACCCAGATTAGTTCTTAACGGTGCTTTCACCAAATAGTGCTCAGGTTAGTTGCGTGCTGATGGGATGTAAAGAAAAGGCGAGGTTTGGTAGGCAAGGTCATTTTATTTATGTAAAAAAAAAATATGCAAAAGAAGAAGAAAAAGAATCTAATAAAGTTGATTTGGTTAGATAAGTGTAAGTATCTTTTGGTCTAAAAAGTAGTTGCAAAGGTAGTTTTTTTTTCTTCTGCATTCTAAGTTTGTTCTAATCCCTGGTTTGGGTTGCTAGATACATATAAGTAAAGGCTAAATGTTCCTGATATTAAACTTTGTGCTGTGTCTGTTTTCTGTTTTAAGCAATTCGTGTTTCTATCTTTTGCAGCGTATCCAGTACGCCAAGACAGACTCCGACATCATAGCGAAGATGAAGGGGACCTACGTGGAACGAGACCGTAAAAAGGAGAAGAAGAAGCCCAAGCCTGAACCGGGCATAAGTAAGAAAGCAGCAGCAGCCATGGTGGCTGGAGTCCCTGCAGCCATGCCGGTGAGTGGAGCTCTGACTGCCGCTGCGGAATCAGTGAGGATGCATTTTAAGCTGATTGCTGTCTGCAGGGAATGCCTCCTATGAGCCAGGCTCCACGGATGTTGCACATTCCAGGTCAGCCGCCGTTCATGCCCCCTCCCGGCATGATGCCCCCACCTGGAATGGCCCCCGGCCAGATGCCAGGGGCCATTGCTCCTGGTCAGATGATGCCTGGACAGATGGCCCAGCAGGTAGTGTTTCCGAGTGTTCCTCAGTTAAAGCCGTCTGACTCTCATTGATGGGTAGAGTTGAAATGATGGGCTTTCCTCGCAGGTTTCAGAAAATCCCCCCAATCACATCCTCTTCCTCACAAACCTGCCAGAGGAGACGAACGAGCTCATGCTCTCCATGCTGTTCAACCAGTGAGTACCATCTCTATTTATTTATTTATTTATTTGTGTATGTGTGCACGTATGTCTCTGTGTGTTTGTCCAATTTCTGAATGCATTTGGTATTTTTCCAAACTAAATCAGAGCTGTATGAGAATCGGCTTCACTGGTTTCAGCCAATCCTCATTCAGAAAAACAGCAGAATTTACTTAAATAGTTTCTTTTATTAAACAAAGACGCACTTACGTCTTTACAATGTATTACAAATGTATTTGATAACTATGCCCCAGTACAGAGTTACACCAATAGCTTTGGAAGCTTGGTCCAGGATGTAAAAACAACTTTAATTTGTTCAGCAAGGAGGATAGCAGACAATGTAAAGTAAATAATAAAATGATAAACACAAAAGGTTTATTAACTTGGTCAAACATGCGAAAATAAACTGCAGCAAACTTTTCAAATGGTTCAGAAAGAGCAATTAGAAATTCTGTCTTTAATGTCAAACAAATAATAAAGAATGAAGTCGCTCAGAGCATTCAGCGTAGAATTAGACTGAATAGATCTGCACTTATAGATCAAGCACATTGTTACTGATACCCCATCTACACTTTTATCTTTCTTTTCTTAATTTTTAAAATTGCTGCCTCTCTAGTGTTTTTCGTGTTTAAAAGTTTGTCTCCATGAAGGCAGAACCTGACTGCTCGTGTTTCTTCAGGTTCCCCGGCTTCAAAGAGGTGCGATTGGTTCCCGGTCGCCACGACATCGCCTTCGTGGAGTTCGAAAACGAAGTCCAGGCCGGCGCGGCGCGAGACGCCCTGCAGGGCTTCAAGATCACGCAGACGAACGCCATGAAGATCTCTTTCGCTAAGAAGTGACCCCTCCCTGCAGGCCCGGGGTTCAAATGCTCTCAGCCCTTTTTATCTTTTTATAAGAATGTTGCTGATTTGAGGGCACTTTCCCCTCTTCGAGGATTGCCATGTAAGTATGCGTTTAAATGTCAAGTTGCTGAGTTTCAACACTTCCCAGGCAGAAAACACTCGTTGGTAAACGACACAATAAAAGCTGCGAATTTTGATTACAGACTTATTCTGCTGTTGAATCCGCAACTTGACATTTGTTTTTATAAACTGTTAAAGCATTGCACCCAGAGTCTGGGCAACCAGACATTGTACCTGGAGCTTTTTCTTTTTTTTATTAAAAGAGGTGACTTTATGTAACGCTTGTTGTCTGTGAGTCTTTCAGAACAAGTTTGTTTATGACTGATTTCCATTTCAGCCTTTGGCCCCTCATTCATTGATGTTTATGCATTTCTGATTCGCTATTATTTGCATAATCGTTTTCCAAAGGTCTAATTCATATGCAGCTCACTTTTTAGGAAAATGAGCTCTGAGCTCTGAAATCTCAGTAAAAAATTTAAGTCATTTATGGCATTTCTTGAGGAAAACTCACAAAAGACCTACCTTCAGCTTCAGAATGCTTTATTTTAAAAAGTCATCACATTGAGGGAAACATCAATGATTGCGTGAAAAGATAACGATTACAGAACACCTTTAATTCATTTCCCTGATTAGAAGCCATCCTCTCAGCTTTGCAGTGTAATTACAAACCGGTAAAGACCTCCTCTTCGTCTCAAAAGCCGGATTCATGAGCATCAGGCAGGAGTGACGTGTGAGTTAGGCCTGAAAAGAACTAATTTCGCTCTTTGCTCTCCTCACACAGGGCCTTCCTGTTGTGGAAACTGTGCCCTGGGTAATTGTCTGCAGGTCAGACCGACTAAGTACACACAAAAATTCACATTGTTCTGGTGTTTCCCCAAGTCTTTCCACACCCTCTTATTTTGCCTTGAGAAAGCGCTGACCTTAGCCACCAGGGAGCCGTGTGTGTATATGTGTGTGTGTGTGTGTGTGTATGGGGTGGTGTGGGGGTGAGGTTGGTCCTGGAAACATGGCTGCCCTCTCAGCAGAGGAAAAATCTTTGTGTTGTGAGTGCAGTGGGGGTTGAAGCTGCTTGTCGGTTTTCAGGTTAGCTTAGCGAAAAGTCAAGAACATTAGAGATTCCCAGTTGTCACTGCAGAACGTTGAGTTTTGTTCAAAGCTTCAGGAAAGAGCAAAACAAACTCCGCCTCTTTCTACTGATGGTGTGTTTTCTGGTCACTTTCTGGATCGTCAGATGAGTTCCGATCAAAAAAAGTGCAATTTTAAGATCATTTCAATTATTAAGGACATGACTCAATCAAAACCGAACTGGGCCTCTTTGAAGGGTTAGGGGGGCAGTTTCGCGGGCAACAGTATTTGCCCCCCTGAACTTGGTTCCGCCACTTTTGGTAGCAGTTTGCAAGAATCAGTTAATGAGTCGTTCACATCCGCTCTTTCAGCCACATAGGAGGATTTCAAGAGAACCAGCGTCCTGTTTGAGGTGACACCACAGCGTCTTAACTGGGCAGGACTTTAACTAGACCACCCCAAAAACTTCATTTTGTGCCTTTCAGATATTCTGGTGTGCTCAACTGATATGTGGTCATTTTCCCCCTGGATTTTCTCATACAGAGAGAAATGCATGTTGAGCAAGGAGATGCTGGAAGTAAACAAATCAGAGTTACATGCTCCATTGATGATAAGGCTGAAGTGTGTAGATGTCCAAGGTCTAACTTCCAAGAAAACGTATCAGAAATCGTCTTAAGTTATTTTCTTAAGGGAGTTAATTTATGCAACCAGTTCAGAGTGGAATTAGCTTTTTAATTCCTTAAACTAAACATAAACAATGTAGATAATAGAGAACTGTGAATATTTGAGGAAAACTGACTAGTTGCCCTTCTTGCCATCAGGAAGTCCAAACCGTTCATCGCTTAAAGCCTCCCAGTGGCCACAAGATGGCGCCAGTTGCACAACTTAAAGCGTTCAAATTTATATCATAAAGTCTACATGTTTTGGTGATTATTTTCGCCAAGGTGAGACACGCACATCAACTAGAACCTGTTAAAAAAAAGAAAAAAAACAGGAATGTGTTTTACTCATTCAGCTCATGCCTGCGTGTCGCGGCTCCTCGTATGCAAATCAAGGCTCTCCTCAAGAGGCCTCTGTTCCGCTCCCGGGGTCAGCGCAGAGCGCCAAGCTGCGGAAACACCAGCGGTCGTCAGGGAAGCTTCTCGAGGCAACGGCCCCGTGATGGACCTTAAGATGAAGGAGGAAGAGGAGGAGGAGGGACGAGGGAGCCAGAATCTCATTAGATGGCCCTCCGATGAAGAAGGAACATTGTGTGGAGGTCTCGAGTCCAACAGGACACGCACACTGGAGGTCAGATGTGGAAAATATGCCATGTGACGGGTGCCAATGTTCAAAAGATGCCTTCACACTCCACAACTCCCTTTTATATTTATGCGCTCAGCCGGTTATAGGGGAGCCCGGCGGCTCCGTTCAGCAGCTGCATGCGAACAGCAGGATACAGCTGCAGCTGTCGGAACAAGTTTAATCACCAGTGTCCATGTGTGAGCAGAGGGAAGCAGCAGGCTGCAGGTGGAGTCTCTCTGTCCATGGAGGCGCTGTGTGTGCTGCACACACCCAAAGCAAACCCACTCTGTGGAAAACAACATTTTTTGTGTGTCCAGCTCATAAGAAGAACTGATATTAGCTGTCCCATCCGTAACCACCTGCGAAATGCTCTGATCCGAGATTAGCTCTCTAGCCTTTTCTCCCTGATCGACGTCTTGAGATGAGTTGCGGCATAATTTCCACACGATGTTCTTTTGGGAAGTTCACAAAACAGTGAGTCAACACGATTCTGCCATCGCCGATACTTTGCTTCCTTCATGGGACCACAGGAGACGTTTCCAAAAATGAAAGTCTTTGAGTGAAAAAAGATTTATTCTTCTGAGCTGCAGGTGAGTCTTTAGCTCAACTCCCTTCTTGTCTCTTTCAAGACATACAGTAGGACAGAGTGTCTGCGTTGGGCTCTGATGCAGAACTGTGGACACAATGCTACTGTGTCTCCTGGCGGAGGAAGGAGACACAGCTAACAATCCATCTGTCTACATTTCTAATGTCACTCTGTGGTTCTGAAGTATGGGTCATAAGCTTCTGGTCACAACGTGTCAAAGTTAGCCGCCTTTGTGGGGTCGCTGACCTTTTGAGACGATGGGCAGGTCTGGAGCAGCGGATCACTTTGGGAGTTTGGATGGACGAATGAATAGAACAGTATTTAATCAGTCCAGGTTCCTTGAAACAAATTATTTACCCATCCTGCCCACAGTGTGACCCCTGGTGCCACCTGGAGATCAGCAACCCTCTCAACCTCACCAGGGATAAGCCTGCAGCGTGAGACGATGGGTGGACGGATGGAAGGAATGGGAACATCGAATCATCCCAGTTTCAATAAAGTGCCGCGGTTTGCTGACTTGTTTTCTTGGGGCATTTTGCTCACATCAAAAACTGCGACTGAACCGAATCATTGTTTTCCAGCAACAACTTCAGCAATCGCTCATCGCTGCGCTGTTGAGCTCAGCGTAGCGACCCTGTTGTTCACCGAGGAAGTGCATCAGATTCAACTCTTACAGCATTTTTGATTTTCATCGTCTTCTCATCGGAAATGGGTTCTGGTTCCTGTTTGGCTTTTAAATTCTAGGATTGGCTGGTTGCACCAACCGTACGTCACCACCGCTTCCCTGACCCGACTCTCCTCAATGCACTTCAGGCCTCCCTTATGTGGCATAATACAAGGCCACGACTGTTGAACTCCAGTCCCTGAGGGCTTTTAGATGTACATCTGCTGCAACACACCAGAATCAGATAATCAGGTCATTAGCTGGACTCTGGAGAACATGTCCACATAGAGAAGAAGAGGCGTGAAGCCATTTCAGTCATGAATGTTGGACAAGTGGCACATCTAAAAAAACTTTAAGCCTGGAGCTGTCTTTTACTTCCTCGTTGATCAGTCGTTTGACAAAAACGCGGAGAGAGCAAAAAGGAGCATTAATCCCACCTTGACGGATTTAGTCAAATGGATGAGTGGACTTGACGCCCCCTTGGTCATGCCACACTGGGTGGACAGCCCTTCCTCCTCATGCAATGCATGTTTTTTTCCTTTCTGTAAGCATTTTCTTATTAGATCAGCAGAAGAGTCTCTTTTCCTGTAGAGTGGGTTCAGTTTGAAGGTCTCCTCTCTTTTTAGAGTCTATCCAAACTCAGACAGCTGCTGCGACTGCGGCTAATTGGAGGGGGTGGGGGTGGGAACTGGAGGACAGAAACCAGGGAGGTGTCGACAAAAGGTGGAGGGGAAACTCAAGCAGATCCGTGAAGCGAATCGCCCGTGATCCCACGTGTAAACGTGACAAAAAGAGCGAAGTGGGCCGCGGGGCAACGAGGAGAGAGGAGAGCGCTCTGCTGCGCTCTGGAGACCATCCCGACTGAAACAAGGATATTCCCTGCCTCAGGACACACCCTTTGCTTCTCTCTCTCTCTCTCTCTCCTTCTCTCTCTCTCTCTCTCTCTCTCTCTCTCTCATTGTTTCCCACACTGACTCTGCCCCTTCCAGATCGGGTTCACAAACCACAACAGCCGTGCAGCCGCTTGCATGAGAAGTCTGCAGAGAGAGAGAGAGAGAGAGAGAGAGAGAGAGAGAGAGAGGAGCAATCCCGCTGCAGAGATGCAACTTTTATTCGCTGCGCGCTGTGGATGATGAGCATTTCTTCCTGAAGAATCGGCTTCTTTTGTCATTTCTGCCCGGTGGAACAAGCCCGGAAAACGGACGGCGGAGATGAAGAGAGGGTGTCATCTAATTGAGATGAGAGTTCAGGTCAAGTGAGCGGGCAGATTGGACCCTGAAATCCTCTTAGCGCAGGTGGCGGCAGGAAAAGGAGAGTGTTCCTGTGAACTATGTGGATTTGCGCGCTGACATCTAGACAGGAGGCGCTGGCGAGGTGAGCGCAAATGCGGGCTGGTGGGCTCGCTGGGGCGCAGTAGCTGGGACAGGGGGTTGTGTGGGGAGAAGGGGGGTCACGACGGGTTCCAGTTCTCTAGACGGGATGAAGTTGCCTTGCGGAAGTTTGAGGGTTTGTGTCTGAGGGAGAGGAGACCTGCGCGCATAGGAGACGCAGGAGGAGGAGAAAGAGAGAGAGGGAGAGGAAAAGAGAGAGAGGAGTGCCACCACCAGCGCCGGAGCGCACAGGGTTCTGTTCCAGTTCTTTCCAGTTCCCTGGACGTGGGGATGGAGAGCACCAGAGCGC